TGCAGCATATGGTTAAAAACCCAAGATGATGGCTGCAACAGTCAGTCTCCAGCCTCTAGAGAAGGGGGGTCAAACTGCCGGTTTCATCATTGCCGGCAATGGTGAAAAAGCTCCGATACGTTGCGCGACGTCTACTCTAGAGGAGGGGTGTCCAACCCTGGCAACTCTAAGACTTGTGGACTTCAACTCCCAGAATTCTCCAGATAGCATGGCTGGCTGGGGAATTCTGGGAGTTGAAATCCACAGGTCTTAAAAGTTGCCAAAGGTGGACACTCCTGCCCTAAAGAGAAAACGCAAAGGGTACTTTTGAGTCTGTCCAAAATTGGATATTCACTGGAGCCTCTGAATTCCTTGACGTGTTAATAGAACATCAATTAACTGGATGATCAGCTGGGCTAAACTGCTTTGTATCCATTTCTTTTAGTAATGGACTGTTTGTGTGAGATATATAAAGGTAGTCCTCGACTTTTTTTAGTGACCATTTGACGTTACAATGGCGCTGAAAAAAGGGACTTGCAGCCAATTCTCGTGCTTATGATGGTTGCAGCATCCCCACGGTCATGTGATCAACATTTAGGTGTTAGGCAACCAGCATGTATTTACAATGGTTGCAGCATTCCGGGGTCGTGTGACTGCCATTTGCGACCTCCCCAGCCACCTTCTGGCCAGCAAAGTCAATGGGGAAAGCTGGATTTGCTGTACAACCATGTGGTGCCTTAACAATGGCAATGATTTACTTAACAACCATGGCAAAAAAAGTCATAAAATCAGGCACGACTCATTTAACCATCTTGCAAGGCAATGGAAATTCTTGCCCCAATTGTGGTCATAAGTTGAGGACTAGCTGTAGTGGGTGAATAATTTTGTCGTTCTGACTAAATAGGTTTCTTTTAGGTAAGTATAACCTAACTGATACTAAAGAATGAACAGTGTTCCGTATTTGATAGCAGAATGTAGTTTACAAATCCATTCTAAACGTTAGGTCTTTACTTTTGGGAAGAAACCATAACTAAAACTCCCGTTTAAGTACTGGTTTAAAAAAATCTGGTTTCTTTTAACAAGGGCCAGTGTCCAAAGAGAGCAGGGGTGGGCAACTATAGCAACTTTATGACCTGTGGACTTTAATTCCCAGAATTCCTGAGTCATGCTGACTCGGGTATTCTGGAAGTTGAAATCCACAGGTCATAAAGTTGTCATAAGTGCCCTCTCCTGAACTAGAGGACTCTGGGGGACTTCTGGGTTTTCAAATGGCGCCTATTCTTTCAGGATAGTGGGGAAAAGATTAGGAATTATCAAATAAATAATAATTACATTGCTATTGTTGCTAGACTGAGTCTAGGTATTCGGCAAGGCAAATTTTGGTTTAGCAGTGTGGAAGATTGCAACCGATGGGACAGTTATCAGAGGACACTGTGCCCATGATCAAATTGCTGTTCACCAGTCCTCGTCCACTCCCACCCACTCTTTATGCCAGCCCCACTGTGGAAGCTAGCCAGGCAACATTTTCATTAGAAAAACACTAGTGATATGGAGGTCCAATCAGAGCTGGTGAAGTAGAACAACAGCCCCAATTTGTAGTATAAAGAGATCTCCTCCCTCCTGCACACCTAGGAGTGGGTGTGCAGATGAACCGGAAAGAAAAAGCATGCCGCAGCAGGCATAATCCAGGGTTCTGATCCCGACCTCAGCCATAAGGGTCGGAAGCTGGAAAGCAGAGTTATCCACTTTTAAATTTCTCTCTACATGCTGAGACAACATGTGAAAATCAGAGAGATCCCTAAAACCACAGCCTTTGCATTCTACGGGGCTTTGGCTGGGCTGATACCACAATAAGGCTTAAAATGTTTTATACAATAAGCACCCTATATTGTGCATTAAGAGAAGCAATTGTCCTCTGGGTTGTTGTTTCAGAGCCATGTCACACCTCCCACCAGAAAACATCACTCCAAAGCCTGATTTCCCTTCCCCCTCCCCAAATTCTGGGCAAAAGTTCTCTTGAGAAGTTTTAGGTTACATGCATACCTCTTTCCTGTACCGAATTCAACATTCCCAACCGTTTTAAACAATTTAAAGATACTATTGAATAGTCTTGTTCACACATTTACCAATCTCCCACTGAAAATAAGTTTCCAAGCAAAGCTCTGAAATGGTTTGCACACAATACTAACATGTGCTAAACACAATGGATTTTGCTTTAAAAACAGCTGGTTAAGAAAACGTTTCAGATTGCTGTCGTAATAATTTACATCCCAGTTAACTGAAGTTGTCAATTAGAGGGATGCAAAATGAATAAGCAATAATTTTTAATCCATTTGTACTAAATACTAGTAGTCCTTGACTTACAACTATTCGTTTAGTGACTGTTCAAAAATTACAACAGCACTGAAAAAGGGGCTTTGATTCGTCCTTACATCGCAACATTCCCAGGATTATGATGTCAGTTAATTTTGGGCACCTGGCAACAGGTATGTATTTACAACAGTTGCAGTGTCCTAGGGTCTTATAAACATCATAAGCAACATTCCTAGCCAGCTTCCGACCAGCAAAGAATGGGGGAAACTGGATTTGCTTAATGATGGCATAATTCACTTAACTGCCGTGATTTGCTAAACAACGATGGCCAAAAAGGTCATAAAGTGGGCGTGACTCTCTTAACAACCACCTTGACAACCACCTTGTTTAGCCATGGTCCCAAGTGGTCGTAAGTCAAGGACTACCTGTACGTATCTGATACATATTCTAAGTCAGAATCCATGTTTAGAGCATCATGTTCTCCAGAAAAGGTACGGATTCAGAAGTTTTTGAACACACCCAACCCGTGGTGTGATTATTAAGGGTTTAAAAGTTTCATGGAAGGAAAAAAACACACAAGGATGGCAGAGGACTAGCGGAAGAACCCGTGTGTCGGTATGGACAGAGCACGATGCTTGACGCTCTTCCTTGAACTCATATTGTCAGAAATTGGGTTATTGTAGGGCACCATTTCCCAACCTTGACAATTCTTCTGAGGTCAATAAAATGAGGACCCAGATTGTTGGGGGCATATGCTGACACTGTAAACCGCTTAGAGAATGCTGTAAACCGCTTAGAGAATGCATAGTGGAGCAGTCTATAAGTCTTAAGTGCTATCGCTATTGCTATCTTAAAATTACCAAAGTTGGCAAATGCTGCTATTGGGTAACTGTCTGCAAACTGAAGTATTGTCAAATCCACAGGATGAGACGCTGCTACGGGGCAAATCTTCTCACCGTTCCAAAAAGCTTTCTTTGAAATCAAGTCACTCCCAACCTTGCAAAGGATTTTGCAGTGAAGCCTGAAAAATCCCATTCCCTTAGCAAACAGACTTAGAAAATGTAATTTTTAAAAAAAAGGAAGAATGAGGGAGAGAAATTTCCAGTAAGGGTAACCATCTCTGAAAAGAAGTCAGGTCCCCTAAAAGGAGGTTTTTAATGGTTAACAACCCACTTTTCCTTCCATTTAAATGTTAAGCCATTTCACATCTTAAAAGAAAAAAAATATCCAGGTCTCCTATTCTTATCATTTCAAAGAGAGAGATAGCCTTTATACAATGTGCATATCTGCACCCATCTAATAGATTATATAAATTTCACAGCTACACTTTATTAGAACTAAAAACAGCGGCCTTCTGTTCCTCAAACTGCATCGTTGCTGTTTTGTTTTTTTCCTCTAAAGAAAAGGGGGCAAAAGGCCCCTTGCACAGTTTGCCATCTTACAAAATATTACCAGGAAGAAGGCTGCTTGCAAAACTAAAAACAAATGTAGACCCCTATGTCATGACCCCACCTTTGCTAGAGAAGGGAGCAGGGGGAAAAGCACAGAAGCCATCACATTTGGACAAAAAAAAAATATTAAATAAAATAAATTATTAAACGAAACAGAAGAAGTTGGCTGACTTACCACACACAAGGGTGGCTTGGAATTTGAATGCAAGTAAGAGGCTGGTGTGCAAACAAATTTAAGAGCAATTTAAACTGCAACCCAAAAAGGGGTACAGATGAGGTTGACATAAAGACTGTCTCAAAATACGGCCACGCATTCAAACCCCAGCAGCCCCTTTGTCCTGCAACCAGATTACCACTGGGTTTAGCAAGCCGACAAGCGCAAGGCAGCTCTCACTGAGAGTTACTATAAAAGCAGGATCAATTAGTTTAAAGAGAAAGAGAGATTCAAACAAGAATGATTTTACAGCAAAGAAGAGGTGGTTTCATTTTAAACCAGACTGTTTTTAGCAGAAGTTGCTTATTTTTTGTGGCCAGTTCAGTTTTATCGGGCAATTCCATTGTCCAAGATTTTAGGGTGACCAAGTCTCCACATTCTGCCATACGAGTTGCTTCCTGCTGCTTCATCCCCAAAGTCTTCCCGTTTAGAGTGAAGTTGAACACTGCTCGTTTTAAAAGGGAAAAAAAAACAAAACCCCACAGTCTTTAATCTTTTGAATGAATATTATACCCTAATCCCATCTAGGTAAAAAGTGCAGCATCGTTTTCTACAGAGCTGGCAAGGACCACCGTCAGGTAAGCATGACGGAGGGGAGAGCCCAGAGGAAATTCCTGGAGAACTGCTCTGCTGAAGAAACCATGGGAACTTCCGCCCAGACACAGGAGCTGAAGCAAAAGAGGCCTTCACCAGGCAGGAGATAGTGGCAGCGAGTCCTCACCCCCTTCTCCTAGCAAGCAGAAATGCCAAAATCCCAACCTGGACCCAGAGTCTCATCCCTCCCCAGCAGAGCAGAAAAGTTTTAGAAAAGGGTATGTACCGTGTTATTTTCCTATGGTACAAAAGGATAATTGAGCAGCATCTCACTTTGAGGCACTGGGAAAGATAGCTATGGTAGGGCTATTTGGGGAGAGGAGAAGAGACCAGTTCCTAGGGCACATTAAGCCAGCAGGCCAGGAGAGAAGAGAAACTCTACATTTCAGACCAATGGGTGGCTACAGAAGCCAGAAAAGGCAAAATCCAAAGAGATCTGGTCTTTTTTTTTTTTAAAGCCACCGACAGATTTGGCATGAGGTGTTGATTAAAGGAAATGTTCCCACCTCTCTTTCCATCACCAAGCGTTCCTCATGAAGAGCAGAACTCTACTGTGTAAATTGGAGGAATCTGTTTCAAGCTGGGAAGAAAAAAGCTTCCAAGCTTCCTGGCAAATGTACAAATACATCTTCCTGTAAAGGGAACAGTACTTCCTACGAGGGGCCTACATTTTCAGCTGAAAGCTTTGCTACAAGTTGACTGGAACCATCTAACTGTCCTTCTGAAAACACGAAGACCTTGCAAAATTGAACTGGAGCACATTAGACAACCGGAGCAATTGCCTAACTGGCAAATCAATCCACTTTAACAGCCTTTGCGGGACCTGAACACCGATGGGGACACCGAGAAGCTAGCGAGAGCTAGTTTGGCTGGAATTGAGAGAGAAGCAAAGGAGGATCCCCCAAAATGTATCTCCTCAGAGTGCCAGGAATCCATTTCTGTTCTCAATCCTCTACACGGACGCTGCCAGCTGGGATTCTGTAAGAACAGGAGAAAAAAGTTTTTGGAAGTGCAACCATGAGGAAAGTTAAGAGGCGGGGGCTTTGGCCCAAGTTCAATGTTCGTTGTGACAGTTGATGTTGCTCTCAGATTGTTCTAAGACATTAAGCATTTCCTCTATGATGGCCTGGAGTGCACGGCCCAGCTGTTCTGCACTGTATGGTTTCCCCAAGGGAGGCACGTGGACAAATGCAGATCGGCCGTGGCTCTGGTACAGCGAAGTGTAGTATGTGAAGTCACATAGATACCTACAAGAAGAACAATGAGATTCAGCCAGGGAGGGGGAGCAAACTTTATAAGCCCTTGCAGCATTTGAAAGCCTACAAAGGTACAGTCGAATGAATTACGGCATTTCATTCCTTCTACTCTTTTCAACAGAAGTGAATATCTATGGCTCAGGAATTGAATTGTGGAGTTCTTGATACTCTCTATAATTTCGTCTGTTTGCTTGAAATTGTTTCATTACCGAGCTAGGTAATGTAATCAATCCAAGTCCATCCATGAATGCCAACTAGCAGGCAGAATTCATGACCTAGGTATTTGCAAGACCGCCTCCTACCAAACACCTCCCTTCGACCAGTCTGCTCCCACAGAGAGGGCCTCCTTAGGGTGCCGTCGGCCAGACAATGCCGGCTGGCGACCCCCAGGGGGAGAGCCTTCTCTGTGGCAGCTCCTGCCCTCTGGAATGACCTACCCCCCCCCCGACCTACGTACAGTTGCAGACCTGCGCCTTTTTCGCCGAGCCCTGAGGGCTCATCTATTCCGTGCGGCCGGCCTGGCGTAGTTTGATTATGTTTCAGTGGGGGTTTTGTATGGGGTATTTTTAGAGCAGGCCTGTTATTTAATTTGATTTTAGACAGAAATTTGTGTATATTTATTGTGGTTTTTATTATCGCCTGTTCACCGCCCTGAGTCCCATAAGGGAGATAGGGCGGTATATAAATTCAATAAATAATAATAATAATAATAATGACGAACACTTCCTTATTACATTTATTAAATTTTTATGCTGGCCATCTCCTCTATAAGGTGATTCCTTAATTTCACAACACACGGACAGACTCAACCACAGTTTCAACTGGCATCTTAGACCAAGCCAACTCCAAAAATGCTAGGGAATTCCTGGAAACTTGGCATTCAGACAAATCAGTCATCAATAGAAATATAAAGATAAACCACATTTACACATCATTCAAAAAAAAAAAAATCTAGGAAAGATACAAAAAGACTACAGGTAGTCCTTGACTTACAACCACAATTGAGCACAAAATTTATGTTGCTAAGCAAGGCAGCTGTTAAGTGAGTTGTGCCTCATTTTACAACCTTTTCACCACAGTTGTTAAACAAATCATGACAGTTAAGTGAATCGTGTGGTCATTAAGTAAATCTGAATTCCCCTATTGTTTGTTTGTCAGAAGGTCACAAAAGGTGATGACGTTACCCCGGGATACTGCGTCCGTCATAAATACATGCCAGTTGTCAAGTGCCCGAATTCCAATCATGTGACCATGGAGATGCTGCAACAGTCGTTAAGTGTAAAAACCGGTCAAAAGTCACTTTTTTCAGTGCCGTCGTAACTTCAAACAGTCACTAAACGAATGGTTGTTCAGCCAAGGACTACCTGTACCTCAAACTATTTCTCTCCACCCCACTCTTATCCTTCCTCTCGTCCTTCTCCTCTCCACTTCCTCATCATACCTCCCGGCGTCCTCTGATATCGTGACGGTGACATCCAGTCCTAACGCAGAGACTCTCTTGCACACGGCGTCCATGTCGATGATCGAATCGATGCATTCTGGGCCCCCTTCAATACAGCATTCGGAACCGGGGCAGAAGTGGCAGTTGTCCAAACCCCGGTAGCCCACGTTGTGGCCGCATTTTTCCAATGTCACCGTTGTGGCCATGCCAGACAGTCCCACGTGAACTACAAGCTGTTTTGAAAACAAGTCAAAAGCTTTCTGTTGGCAGAAGTGGAAAAGCAGGTTCATGAAACCAGCACAGCTGAGAGCCGAACTAGCGACCTGAGGTCAACATGCCTTTAAATCTTTTCCAAATAATCCCTGGAGTGTACATTCCTCCTCCCTTCTGGAAGAAGGAAATGCATATAACCATAGTGCATGTCCTTAAAGAGACAGGCCTTGGTAAAAAAAAGAAACAAACTCTCTCTCTACAGCCAAGAAAATACAGCCACTCTATATAAGTGTGCCCTGATCCTGCTCCCTTTGCAGTATTTCTGTTTATTTTATTTATTTATTTATTTTTAAGACTTATATGCCGCCCTTCTCCCCACGGGACTCAGGGCGGCTCACAGCATATTAAAACAACATAGTACATTTCCCCAATAAAAGCCAATTAAAAACCAAATATTTGTAGCTGTGTCTCTTATTAAAATCATTAAAAATTATCCCTATTTAAAATTCACCCTAGGTCAGTCCCGCT